TAAACCAGAACACAACAACAAAGCTGGAATCACAAGAAAAATATATCATTACATTTACTTGTGATGTATACATAATTATTGCAGTTGATTTCTTAAAAACAAGGTCATAAATCAATGTCCCTACTAGGTTCCCAGCATTTTACTATTTATCTCCAAAAACCTGAACTCAGTCCAGTGAGAGGGGAACCTATTTAGTTTTGACAGCAGCTGGATCTAACTCCAAATTTCTCTAGTAGAGTAGGTAAGTAACCAAAGATCCTTTCATGGTGGTTCAGATGAAAGAGGACAGAAAGGACATCTTTGCCCAGTCAGGAACATGATTTAGGAACATGTCAGAGTGGACGGGAGCTGCCTACACAACTACGGGCTCAGCTCTCTGGGCACAACACAGGAACGAAGGCTGTGAGACAGCAAAGGCAGTCGTGGGGCAATCATAATGGAGCACGGCTGGTGACGATCTTGTGAGCTAAAGGAGTCATGGAGCTGAGAGTGTGCAATGCCTGGAGTTTACCATGCTGTGCAGCCACAGCCAGTCCCACAAAACATAATCTTCACATTCAGGTGCTAAGCATGGCCTGGCTGGGCACAGTTCCCCTGACTGGGCTGCGGTGCCCAACTGTGCCCGGCTGCCGGGAGAGCCCCAACCCTCCTGCTGTCAGTGCTCCTGCTTACTCACCAAAATGATACCTCGGGGGCCAAAAACTCCATGTGATGTTCAGTATATGCACGGTTAGTTTGCTGAGTGCAGTTGTGACAAAAGCTGCCTCTTCTTGTATCACTGCTGCTGCCTCCCTACCCAGTGCACCCTGACTTCCCCCAGCATGCTCTGCTCACCCAACAGTACCGTACATATGGAGGTCTGCTCATCCTCCTCATCACCGCATACTTTTCCCAAAAATATGCAGCTGTTTTAGTGGGAGGTAAACCCTATCATCCTAGTTCTGGCTGTTAAAAAAGAGAGGGTTTGGGGTAAGCAAGTTGCAGATGAACAGTGTCCATCCTTCAACCATGCAGGTATGTTGGGAAATGTTTACAAACCCACAGGAATATAAAATCACCCTGTGCTGACTGAGGATCTAGCCCCTATATCCTCTAACAACCACAGGAAAAATCTTTATAAATGTATTTAAGAGAAAAGTTGGAAAATCATGTGTGCTGGAAAGTCCCAGAAGCTGTTCTCTGGGAGCAAGCAGAAGGGGTTGGATTAAATGCTGCAATACAGCAGGGTTCACTTTTTAATTTTTTCCCACAGTTCCACAAAAAGTAGTATTTGTGCAGGTCACACTCATCTAAACTTGATATCAAGATTACAAGTGATACAAAATGCAATAACTTCTTTTCACTGTATTTTAGTATAAAATACCTCAATACTTCATTACTGCATTTTACTCTACAGAATCTCTTTCCGTGGACAGTACGGTTGTACTAACTCCTGAATACATTGCACAGGAGATACTAATATTTTCATACACATTTTTGTGCTACCACTTATAAGACCTACTCTGCTTGCACAGTCCTCTTGCTGCTGTGCCCCATGGACAGCCCTCTGTTCAGCTCCTTCACCCCTTGGATGCTCCTTCCTGATCAGTTCGAGGCTGTCCACATCCCCAGAGCAGCCCTTGGTAGCCCCTGCTACTGCCACACTGAAACATCACCCCAGAGATCTCCCTGCATGCCACAGTAGTACTAAACACACACACAGAGTTTTTCCTCAGTGAAAACACAAAGAAATACTTCACTCAGTATTTCAGTCCTAACCATTGCCGAAGAAAAGCACAAAATTAAGGCTAAGTATAAACATCAGGAACCTGTAGCATCCTTCAACTTTGAAAGTGTTCAGCACTGAGATGGGGACAAAGTGCTGCTACATTCATGTTGGACAGAAAAACATTAAGCCGTTTCAGGCAATATATATAGTATATACGTTCACACATATTTGTGTGTACATAAATATATGTTTATATACTTAACAGAGACCCGTATCTATAGTATCATGGAATGAAGATACAACTACATTTATAGTATAAGTATTAAAGCTTTTTGTTCAGAAAGAACATATGTCAATGCACCCTTAGACTCGTCTTTTAATTTTACAAATAATGGAAATGAGTCACAGTTGACACTAATTTTATAGGCAGCATTGGGGTATTTTACTTCTAATTAAAGTTATTCCTGATTTATATTAGCAGATGTGTAAAAATAATCAAAGTGGTAGACGTATGGTAACTTGACTTGTTGCAAGAAGGCATATATTCAGTATCACAGAACAGATTCTCAACAAGAATGCACCAAAATAACAACACACCTGAACAGTGAATTCTCCGAGTGAAAAATTACAAGACAGGGACCTGACTCTTTTCTTATATTGGGACTGTGGCAACATGACTTTTTAGACTTAATCACAGTAATTTATGCCAAAATGTGTAAGAGGGGAGTGAAGCACTAGTTATGATGCCAAGATAAAAAGGGAAATTTTAAGCAATATGTATCACATACTGAAATTTAAAAAGAACACGTTTTTTCAGCAATAAGGGTTGCTATAATTAACTCCCAAGGAAACCATGGAAGCTGTTGTTTGGGACATCAAAACGAGGCTGGATGAAATTTTTTCATTCTTAAGTGAAATTTCTCTGAGAACAGGAAGGAAAGAGGACTATAAGATCTAACAAAGTTTCCCTCATCTCTTAATTCAAATATTGTGCTTATTTTGAAAACAAATTCATCAAATTAATTCATCAAAGCCATAAAACTGTAATTGTCTTTTATAGTAACTCAATACAGGAGGTAATAGTCGAAGCTGGGAAAATACAAATACTAAGGTTATCTAAAAATACTGCACTCAGCTACATCAGAATACTTTAAATATTTGGGGTAACACATGCTCTAATTATGCCATTGCATTATTATCAAATTAAATAGCTTTTTTTTTTTTTTTTGTACTAAAACAAGACAGGTGACCTGAGAGATCATCTATTAATATCAGCATTACAAGACCAGATTCCCAGTGGAGAGGGAAAAAATCAGTGGGAAAGAAAAGTCTTAACTGGAACTGGATGACTATTAGGTATGTAATGCACTGCTAACTTCTCCCATTAAACAGCTTGTCTACCCCTATTTAGCCAGTTCAAGAAACACTGAACAGAAACGACTATATTAAAACAAAAGCAAACTGAAAGCTGACAACGAGACTCCTAAGTAACTTCCAAAGCTGGATAACAATGAGCAAAAAGACGATCCAATGCCACAATAGCAGATATAGTTGTCTCGCAGACTAAGACAACTTGTTGCAATTAATGTTTTATACCTTACCACGTTAAAATATCTCAGAGACCAAACAAGCGTTCAGTTGCAGCTGAAACTTTAGAAGGAAAATTTAGGGATGGTCACAGAGGCATTCATAGGAGCATAGCACAATCGTAACAGAAAGGCTGGAGAACCTTCTGTTCTACATGAGCCCCTGATTTCAGTCTCACGAAGCAGTACCAGCGTACATTACGGGTTCTACCCAAACTCCCTCCTTATTCTTGCACACGCAATGTTTCATTGATTCTCAACTACAGGTGTAGCTACCCAGATAATCCCAAGTCATGGATTTCAAAGTACACTTGAAAGAAACTGATCTCAGGAATGTCAGTGCATCTGGGAGGCACAGGGAAATCTGCTGCTGAAATATTTCTGAACATAAAGCCGAAACTTTTTTTTTTTTTTTTAACCTTGTTCAGTGCAGAAAAGCCCTATAAATGTAAGAAGTTCGCGTCTTCTGCGTGGTGAAGGAAGAACGGGCATGCCCTGCAGCACACAGATGTAACTTTCTACGAAAAGATGTTGCTACTGCCAGGTAGCGATAAGCACTTTATGATTTTACCTTTTTCCTTCAATTCAGAAAGGGGCTCGGCGGAAACGCTAAACCAGCTGCAGCGGCAGCTGCCCTGTTTGTGCCTCCCGACCCGAATTCCAGCACCGGGGTGCCGAGCCCACCCTGGGCAGTCCTTGGCAGAAAGGCTCCAAGGAAATGTGATCTCACCTGTAGTGGTGCACCCTACCATCAAGGAAGACAGCTTGTCATTACTTTATCTTAGTTCAAACAAAACTTATTTTCAAAAGCGACGATTTTAAGGCAGTTTTTACACTTTGTATTATGACATATTTTACAACCTTATCCTGTTCAATGTCTGAGTGCAGCCTAAACAAGAACCTGCTGCAGAGACTGGGAAGATTTCCACAGGTGTGAAAGAGCTCTTGAGCATGGCCCTAGGCAGCACAAACCGTGTCTCTGCTTTCAGAAGGTGCACAGATCTGTGACTGAGCACACAGCTTTTAACTAGGGCACGACAGCCCTTGACAGGGCATTGCTTTCAGTGTCATCATCCCTGTTTCTCTTGGCTCACCCAGTTTCTATTTCTGTCTGTTTGGGGGTGGGTGGGGGAGTGGGGGTGTTCAGTAGAAATATATACGGAGTAAGAGAAGCAATGAATCTCCTTTCATCTTGCCATGCTTTTTAAATTTCTGGGGCTTGAAGCCTGTGGTTTGAAACGATGTATTGTAAAGCCAGAGTGGTCCATACTATCTTCCGTTGCCTGACTGAATATTGCACTTGAGATGCAGAGGCTCTCTTTTTGCAGTCCTGGTGATGCTGTCAGCAGCCCTAGGACAGGAATCAGACATGACTTCACCTGAAAGTTAAAACACATGAACCTTCAGATCCGTTGTCTTCCTCTGTCTTTCCTCCTCTAGGGAAGAACAATATTCATCGGTACTTGAGTACAGAAAAAGAAGGCCTTTTTCTTCTTCCCTCTAAAAAAATCCTCATTTTAACAGATTCTGTGAGACCTGCTGCACAAGCCCCTGCCTACCTTCAGGCCAAGCTCCTGCCATTGGGGGGATTAAGGAATTAAGGACTCTTGAAGGTGTCCTTTGGTGCTAAACACTATCCCTTGTGCAGGATACTCCATGTTAAGATGTTAACTTTCTTCGCATGCTTCAGTTTCCATTAAACTTACTTCCTTCTCGTAGACCATATCGTACAGCCCTCAGTGAAGCAAATTCCACTTGGTTCCTGGCTGATGCAGTGACAGTGACAACTGGTTAAGAGCCGCATAGTTTAGCGTTGAAAATGCAAATACATATTTATAAGTCTAAACTGCTAAAATACTGAAGTGTCAACTGGTTCCATGTGCAGTACTTCAGCTGTAGGGTAAGCAACTTGCTTGTGGGCATATTTGCATTTTATTCAGCACTACGGAAAAATGGTTTCATGATGACAAGACTGACACTTCTTAAGTCTTCAGTTTCCTCTTTTTTCTTAAAGTTTAAAGTAGCACTTCCCAACGCCACATCATTAGCATTTGACAGCACTCTTGAGTTACCCTTGCACCATTAAAAATTATTTTCCTCATCCTTCTCATGGCCATATTCCTTTCATGTCTTTCATGTGGTGACCCTGAAATGGGAAAGGAAATTCTTTGCTTCAGTGACTATTCCTGAGGTCAGGATTATTATAACTGAATGCATTCATAAACCAAACCGACTCTTCTCAAGAATGTAAAAGACCTTTTCCTTCAGCATCTAGATAGCCAAGTTCAGCACTCAGAGTAAAAAATGCAATTACAGTTTCAAGTCTTCTATTGCTCCAGCTGAAGCAGTGCTTTGGGTAAATCCAGACTCAGTGTTGCTATTCACTGGCTATTCTGCTCAGCTATGACCTTTAAAACTTGTGGAAGCAAGCCTGATACTTGCCTGATCTGGTTACAGAGATGTCAGTAGTCTGCATACTGCAACTTTGTTTGAGAGTCATGATATGAAATACATGGAATTGGATAAGAGGCACCAGCTGGAAAAGTACCAAACACCATCACAAGATGTCTTGAGCTAAATAGAAATGGACAGCAGAAGATCCAAGATGATGCAGGTCCTGGAGGTGAGTCTGGTGAGCCAGCAAGTCATTCAGTCCCTGGTTATTATTCTCACTTTATTCCTCCTGATCCAGATACAACCTTGGCAAAAGCTAAATACCACAGAGGGTTGCTTCATCTGACAGACAAATGCCTGTGACAGCACATAGACATAGACAGTTACAGCACATAAGAGAACAAATGGTTTTCTTTTATACATGTCTCATCAGCCCAAATTTGCAGTTGGCACATTATTGGATGAATAGCAGAAATGTCTGTAAAATGTATAAGGTTCATCAAAATAGTGCATATTTAACTTTTCTATCGTATCACAACAGAGTGCAATGTTTGTGTTCCACATGTATTGCAGACAGTTCAGAGAAAAATATGAGGGTTTGGGGTTTTTTTTTACAATCTCTAATGTATAATTGTTCTTCTGAGAAAATTATTTTGAAGCATACAAATGTTTTATAAATTTTTATCTGTTTTCAAATTTTTGTCTTGGTGCTGGTAAGCAAAATTCACAATACTGAGTTCAGCCCTGACAGAAAATAGATAGTCTTTAATTTCCATTAATTATAATGTGTTACTTTATTGTTATTTATTTGTTATTTTTATCTATTTGTTATTAACTAAGCATTTCTCATCAGACATTATACGCTGGAGTTTTGATGCTGTTATATTTATTTACAAACGCTGTCTTTCTGCAGTTCATAGAGCCTTGGAAGATTAAAATAACAAAAACAACTTCATCATCGTGCATTGAATTGTCCTATCTGCATTTGTTGAGAAAACGTTAGTTGCAGAGCTGCCAGAAGAAACTATCTGAATTAATCCCACTTAGGGATTAGTCACATGTATCACATACATCACATATATATCTCATATCTTTTCACCTATTACATTATATGACTTTTTATAATGATCTTTTTATAGTACTACTGAACCTATAAGTACTTAATTTTTCCTTTAACAGAAAAGATTGTTGTCCCGGGATCAATGTCTCCCACAGAGAAAGTAAACATCTGTTTTGCAAAGCATTTCTAAAGCAGCAGGAGACCATTATCCTGTGACAACATTCTATTACAATTACTTTATTGCAGTCAGGCAAAATGAGTGATGTGTAGCAAATTTATTCTTTTTTCACATTCTGCCAAACCTTCCTGTTCGTTATCCAATGACTTCCATCTGGAGTATTGCCTGGAAGGATGGCTGGGGCATTCTGCCATTTGTCATTAATGAACTGTTGAATTACAATTGGCTTAAAGAACAGATCAATTTTATGTTTCAACTACTCGGAAATAAAGTTTATGTGCAAGATGCAGCAGATTCTCATTGGCCAAAGTTGATGTTCTGGTAATCAGGTTATGTTTGAGTCCATCATGTTGCACAGTGTGTTGCTGAAGGAATGATGAATCTGGTTTGCACTGCAAGATGAGATACTACATAATGAAGGCAGAAGAATCCAGGTCCTAATGCTAATAAAATGTCTTTAATCTGTGACCCTCAGCACACTTTTAAGTGTTGTTATCATGGATGAGAAAAGCAAAGCACCAATGACTGATACCATGAGTCTCACATTATGCAGCTGATCAATAGCAGAATCAAGAGTTCTTTGTTGCCTAATCTAACTTCAAGACAACTTTATTCAGAATCAATTGGCTTGAGACATGAATGGCCAGCATCAGATCCATTTGTAATTTCAATTATTTCACTATACTTGTTTGCCAAAGAAGGATCAAAACAAGATGTCAAGGCTGTAGAAGGACATATGTTATATTGACATCATCACCGTTTCACAAAAAAATGATGGAGGAAGCTGCCGAGGGAGTGAAAAAAATACGAATTCCCAAATAACAGGGCTTTGACTGAGATGCCTAAGTAAAACTGAGATTGCAAATCTCAGGGAGAACTTCTGATGGCATATAGCCTCAACTAAATGTCTCAAAGGAACACACAGCTGGCTAAACATTCAGACTTAAAAATTTATAAATTGCAAAAGAAAAAATACAGCATAGCACTCAAACGTCTCATTTCCATTAGCCTCGCACAGAAAGACAGATTTACTGAATTCAGCACCAGGTGATGTAAACTGAACCTTTTCTCGATCAGCATTTATTCTGTGTCCTATTTTACCCTGAGGGCAGCAGGTAACAGATGCCACATGAATTCTGGCTCAGAGTTACTTATAAGCTTCATCCAATTTAATTTAAAACACCAAAACAAGAAGATGCTGATAGGCATCTTATATGGTCTAGAGCTACCTTACCCCAGCACTCCTTGCAGCTTAGTCAAGTCACTATTTACAGAAGAACAGCTCCCTACAGAAGGCACTTTGTTTTCACTCTTGCAACCATATTTATCTCAGGTAGACTTCCTGCTACAAGCGTTTTTTCCAAGGTTATGGATGTCATCAATCAGGCTAATCCAAAGAAAATAAAGTGGTAGATACATATAAGATTGAAGTAAATTTGCTTTCAAGCACCCTCTATATCATAGTGGGAGTTCAAAGAGACATTTCTCTAGATTTCTGGAGCATTTCCCTGCACTCTTCATACCCCACGGGAATCCAGAATGGCAAGGAGTTTAGGAGCTTCTCATGTCCTGAACAGAAGCTAAATTAAACCAGGACCCCCACATTTTCTCAAACGGCTGCTAGGACTGCCTCATCTCCTGAGGGAAGGCAGAGCTGATGCCCAAGAAGTAGGGTGCCTCTCATGTCCCAGTGCTTTGGCTTGTTTGTAGGAATTCCCCTTGGCGGTCTCTCACACAGCACATATTTTCCAGACAGCACTGTGGTGTTCACTGGGCTAGGGATGGGGCAGGAGTCATCAGAGCAGCTCTGGGAGCAAAGGCAAAGAATTAGCAGGTAGGTCCTGAGAAAATTAGGGCAGTCACAAAGTACTAACCAGGTTTCACCAGGCTTGAACCCAACCTGATGGAAGAGTAGTTTACCAAGGCAAGTAGTGCTGCACAGCATCTGGGAGATGACCAGCCTGCATCAGAGCTTGTGCGAGGAGGGTTTTCTGGACTAGCCTATCCAGGACTCGTCTGGGAGCATGACAGCAGGTTCTACCAAAGGAAGCCAAGCCAGTGTACGTAGTACATAGTGTTGTACTGCATCTTCTTTAGTGTCATCTGAGCAATATGGTCCTTTTCACAAATGTTACACTTCTATTGCAGTTCATCTCTTCACAAATTGACTCCTTCTACCAGATGTTTTCCAATTTAAAAATTCTGAAATGTAGATCATTGTTGTTAATGTCCTCTCACCAGCTGGCCTAAGATTAACTCACACTGGCATCTTGCCTGATGAGATTACCTTGTTCTCTTTTATCTTAATGACAGGAAATCACACAATATTTTACCCAGACTTGTTTAAAACTGAGACCTCACATTGTGTAATGAGTGAGAACACTTTCTCTTGGAAGATTCTTTGCATCCTATAGTGGATGAACTGATTAACAAATTGTCTGCAATGACTTGCTTTCATGAAGCATAAAAAGGAATAAAGATGTTTTACTTATATATAGTTTCAGCAACAAGAGGGAGAGAGAGACAAGGAGAGGGAGTGTGCTCATACCTATAGATGTAGATAATAAGAAACCATTAAGATATTACCAGAGCAAATATAAATTATCTACAGTATCTACCTACAGGATATTATTCACTGAACTTAAGAGTCAGGCAAAATGTTGTCCAAATTGAAGATCCTTTTGAGCTTCTAGATAAAGTCTATTGCAATAAAATCTACTCTATTTCACCCAGAGATAGAAAATGTTCCTGTTGTGAAAGCAATTTCTGCAAGCAGGAAAATGTGATGTACATAGCTCCTTACAACACTGTTATGACTGTCTTGGCCTTTTTCACTGGATGTATCTTCAAAGTGAACTTCGGTCCATCTCTCCTTAGTAGTGCATAGCAGTTTTAAGTACTTAGAAGCATTCAGGAACCTTTCCAGATGTCCAGCTAGCCTGCTGATGTTGTGAATACTTGTGTAGAAAGTATCCTAGTATTCTAGAGAATTTTTTACAGGAGTTGCAAAATACGGTGACAAGTTTTAGCATCAGTTCAGAACCCACTTTTCTGTTCCTTCCATTCTTCTCTTGAATCTTTAGTCCTTGAAA